ATTGATTTCCACTTTAGTGCTGCTGGAACAGGGTCCCACTCACAACACTCTGGTCCATCCATAGAGATTCTAATTAGGTTATCAAGCATCATAGTAGTGAGATGATTGCGCAGTGGAGTTTTTGTCCTGTTAATAGTAGAAAACACTCTTTCTACTTCAGCTGATGAAGCAGGTAGTACAATAACTTGTGCTAATAATTGAGATATGAGGGGATATGCTGCTACCATGGTGTCTCGTCTATCAGGATGCCACATCTCCAATACAGACTGATGGAGTGACATTGGTTTGAGAGAAAGAGCAAATGACTTGTATGACATGAATTCATTCCATAGGTTAGGACCATTAAGACTCAGTGAAGAAGCAAGCTCAAAAATGATTGCTGGTGTAGCTTCAGCTACATGTTTAGGATGAAGATGTCCTAGCAGAGTAATGAGTCTAATATTGGGAAATCTATTCCTAATACTAGATATTAGCTCTTTGATGTAACATGCTGCTTTAGTGTCAAAATTAGTTTCCTTGACTGCAGCAAGTTCTTCTGGGTAGTTTTTAATGACTGTCAACATATATCCTCCACAATAGATGTCATTTTGAAGCTCTTCTAGTACTGAAAGCTTCTCTTTTACGAGATTTTCTATTCCCAGAAGATTAACTTGGTTACTTTGAAATGCTTTAGAGAGACTACCCACAGTATCTAGGACATCACAGAGGAAGTGAATGTTTACTATAAATTCAGGTTTCTTTAGCTGTGTGTGCAATCCAAGGGCAGTAGCATCACCTTCAGCAGCTTCATTTTCCAGTACAGCTTTTACTGGTCTGTAGCAGCATCTCAGTGCACTGACAGCATTCTCAAGAGAGAGCCATCTAGTCTCAGAGGGTTTTTTTAGCTTCAGCTTTGGATGGTCCATCATTCTCTGTATCTCCACTAGTTCAGCTGTATGGACAGCACTGCGTGAAAAGAATGAGTATACTTGATTTAGTATTCTTTCAAATCGGGCAAACCAAGGTGTAGTATGAGCAGCATCAGAAGCAGCCAAAGCAAGTCTGTGTGCTGAACAATGTGTTGCAATAAGACCAGGTACTTTTATTTTAAGCTGAACTATCACACCATTGTCTCTCCCAACCATGACAGAAGCTCCATCTGAAGCTGCTCCAATAAGCTTTTGAAGCCCAGGTGCTGGAGATGCTTTCTCTTCTAAGTAGGCAGTAACTGCTTTGACAATCACATCAGCTGTAGCATGAACTGCTGGTGAAAGATCTATTAGTTTTAAGTACTTTGTCTCAGCAGTAGCAGTCTCCATATCTAGGTACTGTACTACAAGACCTAACTGCTTAACAGTGGAAAGGTCGGTAGATTCATCTAATATTATTGAATAGAAAGGAGAAGCACAGATATTTTTAAGTAAAAATTCTTCTATAGCAGACCCAATAGCTTCCATCATTTCCTTCATTGTTTGCTCAGATGGGTATGTCCTGTTCTTTCCTTCTAATAACAAACGTGGCAGTGTTGTGTTGCCAAGTTGGACACACAAACTATGTAATGGTACAAAATTGGTGGTATGAGGGGTTTCATTCTTTGCAAGGAAGTATATACAACGAAGAGCATCGCAAAAAGCCTCACCATCCACTGTCAGACAGTCCTCAGAGTGGATAAGGTCATCAATTTTACGTCTCTTTGCTCTACGGTGAAGACTTTCTCTATAGCTACCAGAACAGTTCTGGTGCTGCGTGCTGCTCTGATCTTGATAACACATCAGGCCGTGTACCAGTAAATCCCTTGCTCAGAAAAACCTCACTACCACTGCTAGAGACACCACGAGTCACCCCTTGAGAACAATAGGAGCAATAGACGCCATCTTGTT